AAGCCACCAAGGCCAAGGAAACCAAGAAGGTGAGCCTTGGCCTCAATGACAAGAGCAAGACCGCCAAGATTGGGGACCATCTGGGCCCTAAATTGGAAGGCGCACTCGTCAACTTCCTGTGTGCCAATGTAGACGTGTTTGCATGGAAATATGCAGACATGCCTGGGGTACCACGGGAGTTCCGACCGCCAAGCCGATCAAGCAAAAGCTCCGACGATTCATGTAGGACAAGGAGGCTATAAGGGTAGAAATAAATCGGCTCTTAGCTGCCAGATTTATCAAAGAGGTGTATCATCCCGAGTGGCTGGCTAACCCAGTCCTTATTCAAAAAAAGATAAAGAATGGAGAATGTGCATTGATTACACTGATCTCAACAAACATTGCCCTAAGGACCCCTTCTGTCTACCTCGTAAACATTGCCCTAAGGTTCCTGGTTTTTGTTCCATCTCTTTTTTGATTGTATTTTTTGCCTTCGTACTGCTTCTATGATGCTTTGTTTCGTTCTGCCTCCGGCATCTGTTGCTGTTGCTGGCTACTCCCTTGCTGTTCTATGTTGGAAACTTATTGATCAAGCGCTTGCTGAGGCTGTGGTTGGCCTTGGCTTTTGTTGCCCTTCTGAGCGTTCCTATCGTTTCCTTGGTAGTGCTTGTTCTAATTTTGTTCTTCCCGTCTTCTTCGGAGGTCGTTGTCTGACCTGAAGTACTTCTCAAACTCTCTATATAATTCTTCTAAGGTGCTTGCCTTCTCCCGAGCTAGATGAGCTGCAAAGGCTCTGATACGGAGGCCCTTAATTGCGGCCTCAATTGCTATGTCTTCGAGGACATTTGGTGCCTTCGCTTTAAGCTACACAAATCTCTGAAAATAATCCCTCAGTGCTTCGCCTTGATTCTGTTTGCACTGAAACAAATCCATTGATGTCAAAGATTCGAGGGTGAACCCTTTGAAGTTAGCGAATATATTATCTTGGAGGTCCTCCCATGAATATACTGAACTTGGTCTCAGCATTGGGTACCATGCCAATGCATCTCCTTCGGCTGCAATGACGAATGACTTGGCCAAGATAGTGTCATTTCCTCCTGTGGAGGCTACGGCCGCCTCAAAGCTCATGATGAACTAACGCGGATCTGACCTTCTGTTGAATTTGGGTAGGGTAATAGGCTTGTTAGATGGTGGCCAGGGCGAAGTTTGGATTCCCTCGGACAGTGAGGATCTTGAATCTATGGTTCTTTGCGCTGGCGGCAAGTGGAAAGGTGTGCCGAAGGTTGGTTGGGTGGCCATACCCGGTGAAGGGTTAAGCTGGCTTTGATTTGCTGAGTGGAGCTGGTTGGATGTGTTGGGTTGGGGCTAACTTTGCTGCATGCTTTGTATCTCCATCTGTAGGATTGCCAACTGTTGTCTGATCTCTGCTGCCTGTAATGATGTCTGGGCTACTCTCTGTTTTGCAGCGAAGGTTGCCGCCAACCTATCTCTTTCCTATTGTGTGCTCTGCAGTTGAGCTTGTAGTTGTTGGAGCACCTGCTCGGGGCTGGAGTCTGAGGCTGGCTGATCTTTGCCTGCCGGGGGCTGATCTTCGACCGTGGGCTCCTCTTGAACTTGGTCTTCTGGGACACTAGCGTAAGCGCTACGGACGCTGCGCCTGGGTCGTCCCCTCATCGAGGGCTCCACTAGAGTTCTAGCGGAGGCTGCTCTCTTTTTGGCCATCGTGGGTTTTGCTCGGCCAACACGTGGTGGGTGCCAAAGTTGGAAAAAGAGATTTCTAGCAGGTGGGACTAGAAAGGACTAGCGGAGGCCTTCGCCCGGCCGAGTGCCCCGGGCGATGTTGTGAAAGATGGAAAGTGGGCCCAAGCCTGATTAAGGTTTCATAAATACATTCAACCACCCACTTGTATAGAGTTTGAGTTCCCCTTATATAGGGCACTGCTTACTAGGTCTACTCTTTACAATTCTAAACCTTGTCGGTTACAGTACATCCTCGGAATATTCCTATTCTAATACAAACCGCTAGGGGTACTTTGGGTGCCTTCTTCTTCGACTGCCTTTGCTTGATGGGCCGCTACCATGAGTCCGCTTGCGGCCCACAGCCCGGCACCGCCGCCTTGCGGGAAGTCCTCCGGCTCCTAGAACCTTCGCCCGGGACGACCCTCATCCGGACCTTCGCGCTGACTCCTGTAGCCTTCGTAGGTATCGCCCGAGCCTTCGCCCTCGGCTACATCCGGGCTCCTTCACCACAGTTTCTGGACCTTCGCTGAGGGCGTCCAGGCCTTCGCCTTCGGCTGCATCTAGGCGTCCTCGTCAAAGTTTTCGGACCTTCGCTCAGGGCGACCGGGCCTTCACGTTCAGCTGCATCCAGGCATCTTCGTCATAGTTTTCAGACCTTCACTTAGGGCGTCCGACCAGGCAGAGGTTCCGTCCTTCTTTCCCTATACAACGCTCACGGAACATGGTTAATCATTAGTTCTTAGTGCCACTGCGATCCGTAGAGCCTTCACGACTAGTAACCGTGTCCCAACAATGGTCCACCTGATGAAGATGTTAATGCTGTGGAAGTCTTCAGGGACTTCCATACCATTAGGAAAAAGGGTCTGAGCGATGCTGCAAGAATAGCAGTTGTAAGTACCTTCTTTTGCTTCTCTAGAAATCTACTAAAGTCATTGCCATAAAAGAAGGAAACGTAGCAGGAACCTAGTGTTATGGAAATCTACTAAAATCTACTGAAGCTTATATAATCTCTATCAGCAGTAGGCTGAGGAAGACCTATGCATTACTTGTTATGAATCAATCTCTTAGGTTTTCAATTGAAGTCCTCTTACACTATCTGTAACCTAATGTTTTACTGATTGAATTTCGCAGGAAGCTATGGAAACTATGCAAGCAGAACCTGTTACTGATGGGCAGCAACCAATTGCTAGTGCTGATGTCATTTGTAAGGTCCTCTACATCTACTAGGGCAAGGCCCCCTCCTAGGGAAGTGGCAACAACCTTTTTTAAAGAATGCTGGTATCCAGACAAGCTCCACTAGAACAGAGACATTGGCGGAGAGAATGCTTCGGGAACAGCTTACTACTGAGCAAGAAAGTTTAGCTACCCTCGTCGATCAAGTGGATGAACTAAAGAGGAAGACAGAAAAGACTAAAAAGGAGCTTGAGGAATACAAGAAATGGCAATAGGAGTACAACAATCTCCATGAGCTATGCACGCGCATCAGCTCTTCTGGCAATTCTCAGTCTTCAACTCATGCAGCTGGAAGCAGTGAACATTTGTGGTTTGATGTGAGGACTCATGTGCCGGTTTGATGTGTGGACTTGTATGCCGGTTTGATGTGGTGATACTCTGTCAGTGGTTTGCTGCTAACGTGTGAAATGTTAATTGTTGTTATTTGATTGTCAGGCTAAATAGTTATGTAGTCAATATGTGTAGTAGTGACGATCTCGAATTACTTCTATGACGAATTGATTGTACTCCACGCGGTAGAACCAGGACAGGCCACGTGATCAAATAAAATTGCGACACGTGGACGAACCATAGCATGACACATGCAATGGCCAAGACTCGACACGTGGGCTATTAAAATCCAACATGTGGAAGGAAGCCGTGAAACCACGTGGCCGAATAAAAAACGAAACGTGGATGGATAGCGCCGTGACACGTGGTCGAATAAGAAACGGCCACATGGATCAATAAAAATACGAAACATGGTCCAATGAAGAAGTGACACGTGATCCAATCGTAACATGACACGTGTGCCGATAGAAAACTGACATGTGGAACAATAGCGACCCGACACGTGGTCCAGGAAGAACCTGATACGTGCAAGAACCAGAGATGGCCACGTTGTGCAATAAGAAGGTGATACGTACCCGAACCATATCCAATGCAACCGGCTATAGCATGTACACGTGGGCTATAGCATGTTCACGTGGAAAGCATCTCCAATGGAAGCGTCCACCAGCGTGGTAGCCCCCTGCCACTCATGTCAAAAAAGTTCTATGACGATCTGTTTTTTTTGTCACAGATCAAGACACTTATATGACGATTTTGTCAGATTCGTCATAGATGTGCAAGAATGACGCAACTTCTATGACGAACCGTTTTTCATCATAAATTCGTGATAAAACTAAAATTATGACGAATTTGGCTCCTTCAGTGATGAAATCTATTCATCATATAAGTGGATATTTCTAGTAGTGCATGTTTCTTCCAATACAAGTGGAACTATGTCAAAAGTAAATGCATATGTGTTAAAAGTTTGTTTATTTCTCCCGTTTTGGGATATAAATTGGTGGTTCGAAATTATCGTTAAGGACCGCCAACACACGACAGCACCGGGCGCTCACTAGCCACGGAGCTGCAAGCCGCTCCCTCCATGTCTACCACAAAGCCCATGGCCTGCTCCCTTCATTCCTGCCGTGCGGCCATGGCCTGGGGCGAGTGCGGCTTAGCCAGGGGCTTGTGACTCGTCGGGGGCACGGCCATGGCGGACAGCGGCCATGATCGGGGGTGGGCCTGGCTGGGGGCGCGTGGCCTCGCTGGGACGGGCGCGCGGCCTCGTCTTGGATGGGGGCGGGGCCTCGCCGGGGGCGCTGCCATGGCGGACGGTGGCCATGATCTGGGCGGGCGCGGCCTCGCCGGGTGCGTGGCCTCGCCAGGCGGCGTGTGGCCATGGTGGCGGCGGCGCACAGTCAGACTCAGGACGACGCGGTGAAGAGCTCGGGGAAGAAGGTGATAGAGTTGAAGACGAGGGCAGTTTAAACATTTTCCCTACCTTCTCTCTTCCCAAAACTAAAAAATAAATAAAGTAATCAGTGTGGCGGTAAGGAACCACGAATTTGTAATGTTCACAGCAAATTTTGACTTTGGCCGTGTTCAACAAATTTCCCCCTTTTTTATTCCAATACAATAACAGTGCCCTCTTATTTAAACAAGGACCGGTAGGAGAGGCATCACACAAGTATCACAAGACTTGTTTTTGCTCAGCTCGTCACCATTACGGAGTTCCTGCTTCAACTCATGCCCTTGCATGCAATAGCAACCAACTGTTTCCCAACATTTTTCCCTGAGAACAGCCCGATTAGAGCTGCCGGTGCGCTATCAATGCCCTCGACGACGTCCTCCACGACGGTGACCTTCCCGTCCTTGATGTAGCCAGCCATCTCCTCCTCGAACCTCGCGTACACATGCATGTAGAAAGTAAAGTAGAACCCCTCCACCCTGATGGCCTTGGCGATGATGCAGTACAGGTTGCGCAGGCCGTAGGGCTGCTCCAAATTGTACTGCGAGATCATCCCGCAGACGGCGATCCGGCCGCCGTGGCGCATCTGCAGCAGCACGGCGTCCAGCGTCGCGCCGCCCACGCTGTCGAAGTAGATGTCGATGCCATCGGGAAAACACCTCTTGAGCGCGGCGCCGAGGTCGGTCTCGGACTTGTAGTTGAACGCGTCGTCGAAGCCGAACTTAGTCTTGAGGAGACTGACCTTCTCGTCGGAGCCGGCGCTGCCGACCACGTAGCAACCGGCGATCTTGGCAAGCTGCCCGACCAGTTGCCCGACGGCGCCTGACGCCGCCGAGACGAACACGAAGTCGCCCTTCTTCGGCTTCCCGACATCGAAAAAGCAGGCGTATGCCGTGAGCCCTGGCATCCCTGTACGGCGGTTAACATTAGATCATTGTCTTTGACGAGCAAACTGGCATATTTTGAGAGCAAAACGTCAATGAATCGCTGACCAAGAACCCCCGTGTAGTAGGAGAGCGGCAGCTCGGTGTGGTTGATCTTTTTCAGGGATTCCGGTTCCATGGCGAGGGTGTACACCTCCCATCCAGTCATCCCCCAGACGAGGTCACCGGCGGTGAAGTCCGGGTGTGTAGAGTCGATGACCTTGCCCACGGAGAAATTGACCATGGCCTGATTAACAAATCACAGTATCACACACAGATTTCTTCACCTCTGATTCTAATAAGGCTCCACGTGGTTTAGCAACTGGCAATGTAGCAAGTGAGACCAGACCAACTGACTGTGTGGATAGAATTTGGATGCGTACCTCTCCGGCGGGCGGCACGGTGGGGCCGTCGTCTTGCTTGTTCATGCGGCCACGCATCCAGGGGTCGCAGGACAGGTACAGGTTCTTGACCAACACGGCGGTACGCCCCACCGGCACACGCAGACTGATAGTGTCCACAATGATCTCCATATCATCTTCGGTCGGGAAACGGCCGGTGACGTACCTCCTTAGCACCACCTTCTTGTTCTGCACCACCGCATCCGTCTTCTCGTCGCCGCTGGTCGCCATATTAATCTGCTACGTGCGCGTCACTTTGGTCTACTTTCGGTTTGGTTCACTCCGAGTAGCTATATATACTTCTACAACTGTACATCATCTATCCACTACTAGGCCGGCCTGTCTTTTCTATTCATAACTAAAAGTAGGGGGCGGCTACGGAGCTCAGTTCCATATGGGGTAGTAGGTACAGAAGCTACAAAATAAGATGAGGTATTCTTGGGGGCGGCTATGGAGCTCAGTTTCATCTGGGGTAGTACTGTAGTACACTACAGCAGACGCGTGCTTTGCCGAGTGCAATTGCACTCGGCAAAGAAGGCTTTGCACTCGGCAAAGGCTTTGCCGAGTGCTGCACTCGGCAAAGAGCCGTCGGCATATCCCTTCACGGCAAAGGCTTCTTTGCCGAGTGCCGCATGTCGGGCACTCGGCAAAGGATTTCCCGAGTGCCACGACAGCACTCGGCAAAGAAAAGCCGCCGTGACGGTCAGGCCACGGTGACGGCCCCTTTGCCGAGTGCCACGCGTCGGCACTCGGCAAAGAAATGTGTTTTTTATTTTTTTTTAAATGCTTTGCCGAGTGTCTGCATATGGCACTCGGCAAAGCTTGTTTTCTTTTTTGTTTTTGGATTTTCTTTGCCGAGTGCTGTAGGTAGGCACTCGGCAAAGCAATTTTCTTTGCCGAGTGTCTTGCCCATGGCACTCGGCAAAGCTAGGAAGCTCAGTGTCCCAGATTCCTAGCTTTGCCGAGTGTCATGGTCATGACACTCGGCAAAGAAGTGAAAAAATTCAATTTTTTTTGGGTTTTTAGTCTTCCATCGTTGCAAACAAGATATACGTATATATATATATATATATATATATATATATATAACACAACTATATATCATACAAATGTATATCACAATCCACCACAAACACAAACATAGCATACAAGTATTTCAATCTCGACTCCCAAGTCCAAAGTCCAAACACACAAGCATAATTCACAAAGTTCACAAGTGCATTATATCACAACGGCTGCCATTTGAAGCTCACGGCGACGGTCCGGGTTGGGATGGCCAAACGTGTGATCCCGGCGACCCTCCGAGGTGGTTCGACGCCACCCCCGATTGATGCTGCACAAAATATAAGAGATTGCACGTGAACGACAAGAGAAGAGATAAATATGCAAGATAAATATCCGCCACTACCACCACCACCACCACATCACCGCCATCACCAACACTTCACCACCAACACTTCACCACCACCACCACCACACCACCACCACCATGAGCACCACAAACACCGTGACCACCACCACCACCACACCACCACCACCACCATGACCACCACCCCACCATGACCACCACCACTAGGTTTCTCTAGGTTTCACTAGGTTTCTCTAAGTTTCAGCATAGAAAGTAAAACTTCGTACTTATACTCACCGGGGTAGAATCAGGACGTTGTGGAGGTGGATCTAGAGCAAGCAGCGTCTGTGGGATCGCCCAACCTTGTTGCTGGCCAATTTACTGCATGAACTTGATCATCTTGGCAATCTGCCGCTGATCTTGCTCCCGCTGGGCCTCCAAAGCCTGTAGCCTTTGCCGCTCGACCTCTCGCTCGGCCTGCAGTTCCTGCACCTGGGCCTGCAGCATTTGACCCCAATGTTTCAATAATGCATAGGTAAGGTATGTAAAAGTCAAAGAACGACGAATGAAACAGGAATTCTTACCTGGAGTGCCGACACCGCGGTCGGCCGTTGGCGTATGGGCACACTTGAGCTCGTGCTCGATGCTCGGAGCTGGTGGAGAGGAGGAGTAGAGGCCGTGTCAAGGACGCCATTGCCAATCCAGAATCGCCCATGCTTCTTGCCTTGCCCCACCCTCATCACGAGCTGAGGATCAAGGCGCTCCTCGATTCTCGGATCGTAGCCCGGCCCATGGACTGACCTTGCCGCCTCCGTGTACGAAGAGAGGCGGGTGTGGACACTGGAGTTGGTGTATGCCTCAACCAGGGCATCTGGGTCGTACTCGATGTCGGCCGTCGCCTTGCCCATGTGAGCCAGAGCATATGCCTTGAGTTGACCAACTGGCTGGCCACCATGTGCATCCGACTAGGAGAAAGACAACATGTGGTTAGAAATGATGCAGAATTGAGCGCGGCTAGATTAGAGCAATGACGGAGACTTACATATGCCTTTGCATATTTGTTGAGGCTGCGGCTGCCCTGATGGTGAGGTACACCTGGCATCTGCAAACGCCTATCGTGGGCCTCCTCGTGCTTCTTCTGCCAGTCCCCGTCCAACCAGGTGTCCACAATATATTCCCAGCAATCGGGGTGGGTGGCGCACCAGCTTGGAATCGCCTACAGGACATCAAGTAGACGACATATCAGAAGATCAAAATAGGCATACTTAATCTCAAAAGAAATGAATATTCATGTTTTGTATTTACCTGTATGTACTGCTCCCTTGTCAGCGTCATCCGTCTTGCCTCCTCTTTGTTGACACGCCTAAGTAGGAACTTGGCATTGTAGTCTATGTGGGCCTGGATGTGGGACTCGTAGTGCAAGTCCGTGACACGCCTTTTACAGGAAGCGTAAGCCACCTGATACACACTTTCCTCATGTCCCTCCTGGATTCTGAAGAAGTCTTGCATAAAGACACGAGGTATCCATTATTTTATTTCAAGAATGTCCAATGAATGCGAGGAATTGAGGAATGTAGTGCAAGAAAGACTTACCCACAACTCCCTAATCACCCGATCTGCCTTGTTTCTACAGTGGATGCCATTATGATCTGGAGCATCCTGCATGAGGGCATAGTGGTCGAACGTCCAGGCCTTCTCCCAATCCTGATCTCCTTTCCTAACTAGGCCAGGGAAGTGTTCCTTGCACAGAAGTCCCAGGATGCCATTCACATTACGTGTCGGGGCCGCCTGGTCCAGAAGCACTCAGTTCCTACACAAGTGGTCCACAATAGTTATTACTTGTTATTATGATTTTTCAACAAATCAAATGAAGAACATATGAAGTTACTTACTTATCGCCCTCGGGTACAATCAGTGGGCGCCTCTCAACAGGTATCAGTCGCTTTGAGAGCTTTGCGGGACCTCGCTGGTAGGGTTTCGACGTACCAGAGGAAGTGGAACCCCCTACCATCGCCGCCTCCTCGTCCTCCGTCGCTAGAACCGCCTCCTCGTCCTCCGTCCGTGGACCCCCATCCCCGTCCACCGTGTTCTGAAGGTCATCGTCATGCACAGGGTCGCGTGAGGAGCTACGCCCGTGGTCAGTCAACGGCTCCCACCTGGGCCTGCCTCTCGGCCACCTCAGCCTCTCTGACACCTCCGCCTCCTCAGCCGCCGCCATGTCCCTCCGGTTGGCGTAAACCGAGGGGCAGCTCCTCCTAGTGGGCCCCATCACCTACAATTAAAAAGAGTAAACCAGTAAATACAGATAAACGAGACGTACTTAGTAAGAGATGCAAAATAAAGAAAATGTAATTACAAAATAACATAGTATTACATGTATTTCTAATATTCTTCATGATCGGGATTATCTGGACGATATGTATCGTCATCACTATCAAGATTGTCCAAATCCTCAACAGCCTCATCCTCATCGTTGTCATTGCCTAGTCGTAGTCCATGAAGCATTTCCAAGTCCTTCGGATCATGCACCTTAGTTGTAGCGTCCTCGTCAACAACCCATTCCTCGTCTGCTTCCATTTCGATCTCTCCGGTTAAGTCTATCTCAAGCATCCCTTGTAGCCCCTCTTCTTGTTGATAGAACTCTCCATCATGCGTGTTTGGGTTCAAGTTGTAATCATCAGGGTTTGGGCGAGGTAATCTACCGTGTGGTGATACCTTGTGCACAATATACCAACCCTGAAGACGTGGGTCGGTTTTGCAAGCATATGGACAATAATAAACTTGTGTGGCTTGTTGAGCCACAATATAGACATCTTCTCCTGGATAGAAGAAATCCTGTTGAGTTTCGACTATCCCAAGTTGATGGGACTTTCTCGATACTGCAGGATCAAACCACTGGCATTTGAATATGATAGGATTAAGTGCTTTGGAAGTATGGTAGTCAAGCTCGTATATTTCTTCAACTGTCCCATAATACTCCTCCTGATCAGTGCCCGGCGTAAATACTCCGGTATTCGTGGTCCTTGGATTGGGACGACTCTACTCGTACCTTGTTGTGTGGAAGCGATATCCATTCACATCATAAGCATTAAATGACAAGACCTTATAGTCAAAGCCATTGGCCACCTGTCGTAATTCAGCACTTATAGACACATCCCTTTGGCACTGCAAGTTCAAGCAGAAGAGAAATGAAATCAGGCAACTTGGAACGTCAAACTTAGTAAGAGCTAAGTTGGCCGATACCTTTTTTTGGAACCATGTAATGAAATCAGGCGAACCATGTTGAAGAAGGGTCTCTCGTTCATGGTCAGAAGGTGGCCTTGAATGATGCCAGGATTCATCAAAAAATTCTCTGCACCGACAAGGAACAATGTTGTTGGATGTACAAAAGTTACGGAGTATGTAACAAGTTTGTTGAGAACTTACCCCAGATACGTTTCCACTTCGTCAAGGTTGGTCAACACGTAGAGCATGATCTTGCGCCACTCTTCATAGCTC